CAACCACCCAACCGGCAATCGCCCCTCCCCCGCGACCCCACCTAGTCACAAGACCATGTAACCCTACACCGCACACAGCCCCTTTTCTTGACCCTCCTAATTGCCATCACTCCTCTGCTATGATGCTTTGCCGAATATGAACGATAATTTTCATGCAGAAAGCCCTGCTCTGGTATAATTTATTTATTCCTACAGTCTATACTTGCATTATTGGTGGTAGAGCGAAATTTTCCAATTTGCCTATTAGCTCATTAAACTCCGATATTTTAATGTATTTTTTCGAAATTTATTGTTTCAAGCACCTAAATTTTTCATTACCGACGACACTATTCGATTTGGCTACTCTATCAATATTTGTATTTTGCATTTACACTTAAGCAAGTATTTTACTTATTCGTCTCTCTCTCTCTCTCTCTCTCTCTCTCTCTCTCTCTCTCTCTCTCTCTCTGCCCTTTTAATATAGATAACTTTAACACCGAATATTAAAAATTCACTTGCAAACATAAAAAAACATTGCTTTTTCCATGAAAATCACGACTCCTACGTTTGTATATATTATATGTCATTTATACACAATGTTAACTGCATTATGTTTGCAGAGTCTTATTTAATAAAGCTTTGTAGAAGAAAATGTATTTATCAGATGAACGTACAGAAATAACTGCATTGAGAAAGATATTGAAACCTAACGCATAGTGTAAATATCTATTCAACGTACTTTGACTTTTACTCTTACTTCCTGCTATGCCTTATCCAATCATTTATATACTTCATTCATAGTACAAAGCTGAGGATAATTTCGAAAAAACATTGCTCGTTATAAATTACAGCTCCTCTTATGCCATTGCCCCATTTCTTATATTCTTCATTATTAATATATATATATATATATATATATATATATAATACTCTTACAGGCATTGTCATTATCGCCAGATTCTAAGAGCTATGAAATATGGAAAGACACGAAGACTATGTCAACAAATTTAGATGTTTATTTTTTTAATTGGACGAACCCGGAAGATCTTATGGACCCAGAGAAGAAAATTCATTTAGTTCAACTAGGACCATATAGTTTTATGTAAGCATTTTCTTTATTATTAATTCAAGCGATCAATATTTTTTAATCCAGACTGAATGACAACAATAATAATGTCACTTGTCCAATTACTATCAATGACAATAGTTACTTACTAACAAAAACCAGCACACATAGATAGTATTCTAAACATCTTCTTAAGATTCGAGATTGTTTATTATATTTATGAAGCTATTAATTATTGTATATAATAATTTATGATGTTAGATTAGAAAAATACAGAGTATGAAAATTGAAGCTAATCTTGCAAGTAAGATTTGATCGAATCCAGATGAATCATCTATTCAAAAATAACAGTAGATATTTGTTCCATTTTTCATCCTATATGTCACATGTCACCATATTTAAATTAGCACAACTATAAAACTGCTAAAGTAATGTGATATTAAGCTTACTCCTTTGGTAAACTCGAATAATAAATAATATCCATGAAAATTTCCGTTCATAATACATTTTAATAAAGAAAATAATTTAAAATCACAACAGGATAATATAATGGTAGAAGTGATGCATTGTTACAGTAATTGTACAATTATGTACATTCGAAAATTTAGTCATACAATTGAAGGAGCCATACAGAAGAAATAGGTCGCTACTTGCTGATAGTTACTTTCTGGACTGTTTTGGTCTGTCGCAAGCTGAAAGCCAACTTTTTATATTTATTTACCGCTACAATTGCTCAATAAAACTTAAAAAGTCAAGCTGTTCATATCAAACTTTATAATATAAAAAGTTGCCTGTACAAGCTAATTGAACAATTTTTGCATCGATATATCTTATTTATTTAGATAAGTGTAATTTTTTTTTAATTTAGGGATATAATAGAAAATGTTTTGTTCGTTAATCGAAATGACGCGATTAAAAAATTTTACTTATTATATTTTTCACATACACATAATGTCGAACGAATCATCAAGTTGATATTTATACTATTTTAAATTAATGCAATGTTAGTCGATTAAAGAGATTTAACACTTTTAATTCGCCTTTTAATAGTATATTTAGACAAATTGTAATTTATATGAGAGTAGATGAAGCTTTTAAAATTTCAGTAGTTTTCGTTACTTCAATGTACAGCGAATGAAAATAGCGAAATTCTATTATTTTTTCCATGCATCATTTGAAATTTGAAGAATAATTTGCATTACAAAACATATAAATAGTACAATATATATTATCCGAGAATCATAAGCATTATAAATTACTAGTTAATAAAAATGTTCATACCCATATTGTTTAACATTATTTAACATATCTCGATAATGAGTGAGTAAAATCTAAAAAACAAAAAAAAAAAAAAGAAAGAAAGAAAAAAAAAAGAAAGAAAAAAAAAAAGAAAGAAAGAAGAAAAAAGAACTAAAAAGAAGAAAAAAGTAGTTTTAGTAGAAAAAAAAAGTTTTTTTCTTTTAATACGTCGATATTCGTTTAAAAAAGTTATTGATAAAAATAGTGCGAACAGTACTGCTTTTTGATGATAGTTTCAACTAAAAAATGTTAAATACAATGTTAGAAGGTCAGGAGGTATTCGGATTATTGAGCACGTGTATTCGATAATGTGTAACATGAAACCAAAATCCAACCGCATTACCTACACATGCAATAGACAATGAAAATTGTGATTCAATCTTGTTTATCTAACTTAAACGTTATCTAATTCTTATTAAAATTGAGATAGGAAATATTTACAAAATAAAATATTAATTACTTCCAATCTCTTAGGAATGAAAATAAAAATAAAAAAAAAAAAAGAAAAAAAAGAAAAGAAAAGAAAAAGAAACAATCATCTTGCCGTAAAAGCTTTGTTGAAGTTCGATTAAAAATATGCCATTATTTATGAATTGCTTCGGTTAATAAGATATTCTACTTAATAAATTCTAACAATTATATACTTAAATATATACTGGATAGCTATTGGTAATATTGAATATCCTTAGACAACAAATTAACAAATCAATTTTTTTTTTTTTTTTTTTTTTGTAATCTGTGGTTTATGACGAAGCCACAGTGCGTAAAAGATTGAATAATTGAATCATTTTATTTATTAACAATGGATATATTCAGAAATTTTTTTTTAAGTAAATTATATAATTGAAATGCACAAGAAGAATAAAGAATTTGATAAAATGGACATGAAAAGTAGATAATTTTTATCAATGAATAGTATATGTACTCTATATTCAGGATACATATATTTTACATCATTTGTACCTTTTTTTTTTTTTAATATAAGCACTCTGACATATTTTTAATAATCTTATGTTAAATCTGTCGATTGAATTGAAATGTTATCAACATTATTCAACATTAATATATAACTAATCAAATACCGGCAAATAATCGTTTGATCGTTTGAAATGGCAGGAATGAAAGGATATTAATGTTAATCGTTTCGAAAAATTGCTTATCGCACCAATTACTCATCGATGCATCTCCAAAAGAATAATTCACGAAGAAACTATTAAGTACCGAGTTAATACAGACATAATGTAAGCGACATGATTCCATCTGCGTATTTATCGTTGATAGACACAGTCTTTAATTACCCGCACTCTAGCCTCCAATATAGGTTCATGAATATACGTAATCGGTGATAGCTCGTAGAACTCAATTTTAAACAAGCACTAATAATAATAAGCAATTTTTAACGACGAGGAAACGGTTAACCTTGCTGTATTGACATCTTGATGAACAATAAGACAATTCACTTATCTATCCAGACTGGCCGACTATACACGACTGGGCGTGTAGGCGACCGAATGCTAAAACTTCATGAATTAATTGACTAATTAATTACTTTTTTCTAGTAAGAAGACGTAGCGTAATAGCAGCAGACATTAGTTAGACGTTCATCCATTAGTGTAATTTGAGAAAAAAATTTCAACACAAATTTTAAGTATGATAATTGGCTTCTTGACAGACAATAGCAAGTTTGCAAGTATTTGTTTAGTTACCAACATCTTTTCATCTTTTCAAAGAATCGAATACATTTTCATGATTAATAATAAGCAATTTTATACTCGAAGGATTTCAAGAATCCTACCCATCATAATATCATATTAAGAATCTTAACACGTATCCTCCAATTTATATTACTTTCATTTACGTTAGTCCCTTTATCATCGTATATAAATGTTTTTCCATAAACTTAATTTGACTTGATATGTTTATTTTATCTTCGCAGTTAATAATATATCAATCATACTTTTCCCTTTAAGATGTCTACGTAGATACTTTTTGTGTACAAAAAATAAATGAAAAAAATATAACGACACTGCTCTGAAGCACAAGCGTCTAGGCTACCGAATGTTAAAAATTACAATTTAAATCTAATTGTTGGAAAACTAAAAATCTTAAATAAAATGCATAAAGCATGACTTAGGGATAATCTTGTAAAGAAAATTCTTCATCGTACAATTATTGTAGATCTGATGAACATGTATTGAAATAAATTCAATAACATAAATTCAAGTGAATAATGTAAATCTCAGTTTGTAAATTACAAATATTTACATTACAAATATGAAATTAATAAGCAATTTATTCGATAATATTCACGTTTTAAATAGATGGAACAATTGTTTAAATTACAAACGTTTAATTATCTTTTTTTTTTTTTTTTTTTTTTTTTTTTTTTCTAATAATCAACAATCACATATATACACGTAATTCATAATTCTAATAAGGATTTATTCATTTTTAATAATAAAATATATTGGATTGTAAGTTTTAAATAAAATCGAATAATAATTCGCCTAGGAAATAATTTAATGAAAACGTAACGTATACAAATGTTGCAACCTATGTTACATATATAATTATACATATAATTTTATTTATTCAAGCATATCATTATTTATATTGTATTAATTTACATTAGATTTTTATAATATTGAATGGTTGGATCTAATCAAGTAATTATGAATCACATGAATATTATTTGGCAAGTACTGGCTCAATGGGAAATATAAAGGAATATAAAATTTTACTCAATTTTCAGTACTGATTTAACTTCTTATCCAATCTCTTAGTCGATATTAATGGAATATTCACCTTTTTCAAGAGAAGATTGAAATCTTATCTATTAAACACCGAAATGTGTTGTACGAAATATTGAATCAGCGATGAATTCGAAATGTCTGAATAGCTCATCGTAAAAATTTATAACATTGATTATTAAGCTTAAAAGTAAAATCTTTTATGAGAACTCAATAGAAAAATGTTAAATAGTAATGATTAAGAACAATATGCTAAGTATTAGAGCATTAGAAAAAATATTAACGATTAATATGTAATTTATTATTAACTTAAAATTTTTTATTTTTTTTTTTTTTATTTTTTTTTTTTTATTTTTTTTATCATTTTCTATTGTCATCGCTGTTCTTCTATATTAAATCAATTTACAAAAACACACTTAAAATTATTTGAGATTCACGCAAAGTATAATAATATATTATATAGAATATTCATTCATTAAGCGTAATTGTAATATTTTCAACGAGCATAGATACATTTAAATAATTTATTATCCGAATAAGCTTTGCTCATCTATATATCGTGAATTAATTGCCAATGTTACTTAGAATTACAGAAAAAAACTTAAATCCTAGAGGGTTTTAAATTCAGTCGAGTGGAAATGCAGGGACATAAAAATAAAATAACTATTCCATGACATGCGACGTTTGCTCGAAAAAAGAAGAAAAAAAAAAAAGAAAAAAAAAACTACCGATGAAAAAAGATCGTGAAATTTTTCGTTGAAACTTGATTCGAAATATAAAAAGCAATGAAATCGAATACAAAATAAATACATTTCATCGGCTGCTAGAGCCTCATACATAATTGTACATTTTGCGTGTGATTATTACTCGGGGAATAGCGTGACAGGAAGTTGAAAGTATTGAATTAGTAGCTTGCATATAGTGAATAATAATAAACCTAATAACTCTTAATTTTAAGCACATGTACGTAATGGTTGCCTTGTCCAAAATGAGCATTATCGTGATCTAAGGTGCATTCCTAACACTTCAAACGCTTGACTAGTTGTCACGTCAATCTCAATTTATCGAATATAGGTCGTGTCATTACACTATTATTTATGATAAATTAACTTCAAAATGATAAAACGATTTCACAATTGCACTGCTAGTAACAATTTTCAAGCTCTTTCTATATATTTGTTAATATTATATTATGGAATTCATTATGTAGAAAAATATCAAGTAGCCGTTAGATTGAAAACTTCAAAAAAATTAATATCAAATTTAACGATACTTTAGTTATTATACATAAATTAATGCTGAATGTTAAGCTCTATTTTACAGTTGAAGCAATTGAATAAAACTCATGTTTTTTTTTTTTTTGATTTAATTTTAAAATAAAGTGCTAAAGAATATATGAACATTTGTGTGAAAATTAATTTTCATATATATATATATATATATATATATATATATATAGTCATTTTATATAAGCATAAGGCTAATTAGAAATAAATAAGTACAGAACAATCAATTACTCTTTCAGAGAAAGGCGAGAAAAAGTTAACATAACTTTTCATCCAGAAAATAGTACGGTTAGCTATTTACAACGTAGGACTTGGTTCTTCGACGAATCAAAAAGTAATGGCACATTACAAGATAAAATTGTACAACTGAATGTCGTAGCTGTGGTAAGTTAACGAATTTTCATCTAATACATTGTCTTTTCCTTATACCCATAGATTAATAATTTCGAGGAAAATACCACAAGTTTTGATCATTAGTAAATATTCTCTTTTTTAGTCAGCGGCGTACAAGATTCGATATTGGCCTTTCATGATTCAACAAAGTCTGTCTTATGTATTAAATCAGTTTTCGAATAAAATTTACATCGTGAAAACAGTTGACGAGCTTCTCTTTACGGGCTTTGAAGATAAAATTATTACTATGGGAAAGATGTCCGGTATGGACGAGGACTCTCCACCATTCGACCGATTTGGTTGGTTTTATATGGTACGTTTTTTCAAAACATGAGCACTGTACTATGTAACAGTACTTTAGTTTCAATTCAGAGAAAATAATTTGTCTCTTTTAGGATTAAAAAATAGTATAACCTTCGATTCAAATCCATATTATATTATTTGAATGTTAAATATAAAATATTTTCTCTGTTATATATATATATATATATATATATATATATATATCTCTATTCTAACCCACGCTTATGAAATATAATTTTACATTATTAAGATTAGAATAATTTTAATAACTATCGAGTAGAAATTATGTTTAATATTCAGTATTTTTAATGTCTGTTTTTTAAATCGCAAATAATGCAAATCTTACGTTTTTTTACTATTTATATAACATTTTTAAAAATGTATGTGTATTTTTTCATATTGAATAGTCTTGATCGATTGATTGATTCAATAATCAATATTCAATAGTCTTGACGTACTTATTTTAATTAACGTTAATTATACAAGTATAATATTAGAAAAAAACAAAAATAAAAAAATACTTATTATTTTACATGTTTAACTCAATAAGATGTTGAACATCATTATGATTAATATAATGGATAACATGAAATTAATGGAAAACAGAATCAATGAACTCGTATTAAAAAATAAATCTGTATTTCTCGCTATAATTTTGATATTTAAAAAATAAACAATTAATGGAATAATAAAATCATTCAATAAGATCTACTAGATTAAATACTAAAGCTATATGGGAAAAATTAATTTTATAAAACTTAATGAGAATAAGCGCTCGCTCGTCTATGTACACGTACATGTACACGGATAAAAGCATGTGTAAGATAACATTCTAATATGCATTGGTCTTCTAAGATTTATATTGAATTAAATTTGAAACTTAATTCTTAATAAATTCAATACATCGATATAAATTATAATCCATGGTAATTCATTATTTTCATAAAATTACGCGGACTCCGCTAGGCCGTGAATCGCTTTATTAAGTGATAAAATTTCCAAGTCAATATCGAGAAAATAACTTGGGGTGCAAAATTTAAGTTCCCAATCATAAAAGAGTCGTGCAAATAAACATGTAATTTTTCTAAGAAAGCCCAAACACACGATTAATTATCGACTTATCGAGCTTAATTGACATTGCACAAATGGTTTAGATCGGTCGTTGAACGGGCAGGAATAATTCGTCGACGCTCGCTTTAAATTGGCACTGAATAGCACAGGTCGCATGTACATCACACATTGAGGAATAAATAGCCAAGAACAGATAACGTGTGCTAATTTCTTTCTATACATAACTTAATAATTGAATATCGCACCTGAATTTTAAAATCGTCGCAAATTGATGGCCACCGTAAAAATTATTTGATTACGAAATTTTATCATTTATCATATTTATCATCAATCAAGTTTATCTTAAAAATTGTTTAGTTTTGAGTCAAGATTTCCTTAGCCTATTATTATCGATAAAAAACGAGCAAATTTTCATGCTACATTAGCATAATTCGAGTAAAAAATTAAAAAATACTTATAAATATTACGTAAACAATTATTTCAACGATTATAGTTATAAATAAATATTTAATACTATACAGGACATTATTGTCGTATGATCGACGCTTAATTAAAAATCATTATTCAATAGTGGTGTTTAAAAATGTTAAACAATTTTTTTTGTTAAAAGAGCATCAATTATTGTAATGCAAAGTGAGAAAATGAAAATTCATTAACTACCAATAATAAGCGAATACGGTTTAGCTGTCAGTTCGACTAAAATTACAGCATGAAATATAAATTGTGTACTTATATGATTAATAAATTCGATGAGAATAGAATAAAATCTATCAACCGTAAGTAAGTAAATTATTTCATTTGAAATATTCTATCTAACAGAATGGAACAATTAATTACAGAGAAATGGATCGACTGAATTTGATGGCCACAGTAACGTAGCGACTGGCGTAGATGATCTTAGCAATATTGGAAAATTAAAATTATGGAATTATAAGGATACAACAAAGTATTATAAAAGTCCTTGTAACACGATTGAAGGAAGTTCCGGTGAATTTTGGCCTCCGTATAGAACCAAAGAGGATATTAGGCTATTCACTACCGATATTTGCAGGTAAAGAAAATTAACGAAACAAATCAATCGATCATACGACGTTAGCACAATACGTCATAAACAAATACGATAAGAAAAATCAGTGAATTATATTTAAAATATATAATATAAAAAGAAGATTAAAATCTTACGAGAAACTTTATTAACAAGTATATTATTATTATTATTATTATTATTATTATTATTAGTTATAAAGATTTTCAATAATCATTCGTATTTTCGCTTTCTTCTAACATCGCATTCAATTTTTTTAAATCAAATCTATGAAGTTTAGGATCTATGAAGCTTCGTAGATCAATGCGAATTTCCAATTCTTTATTCACCATTCCCTTATTCACGATAATGATAATTTTACTAGAATTGAAAATATCGAAGAAGAACGGTAAAATTTCATTCAAACTACATTGAAAATAAAGTAAACATATACACATGAAGGGAATAGGGATTCACGATTGGAATATAATTATCGAACTAATTTCAATATATCGTTACGGCATACATGTAATTGTAATGACGACGTTAATAATAATTGTGGCACTAATATAGAACGATATGATAGGAAAATAAATAAATAAATAAATAAATAATGGAATAAAACCGCAGGCCAGTGACGTACGAGTTCGTGGATAAGGTGAGTCACAAGGGTATCGAGGGATACAAGTTCTCGATGGGCAAAACGACACTAGGAAACGACTCGAGACGGCGTTACCCGCACGAGCAGGCCAAGTACTTCGAGCCGACGACCACAACGGAAGATTTCTTCGTTATCGACCCAACAACACTGAAGCCGGAGGTGGAAAACGATGATCCGGATGTGGTGAACGAGGGCCGCTGCTATTGCAATGGCGAGTGCTCGCCGATGGGCCTGATAAACATCACGGCCTGCCGCTACGGAGCCCCCGGCTTCGTCAGTTTACCTCACTTTCACAAGGGCGACCCCGTCCTCAGGGAGCGCTTTACCGGGCTTGATCCCAAAGCCGAGGATCATAGTTTCGACATCGTTCTCGAGCCGGTAAGTCGTCGTCGGAACGAGTCGGTTTTTCAACTCCCTCCCTTATCGACGCTCGCCCCCCCTTCACACACACACTGACACTCACTATCTCTCTCTCTCACTCTCACTCACACACATACACACGTACACACACACGTACACACACACACACACACACACACACACTATCTCTTACTCAAACACTGCTACACTCTACTGCCAAAACCTGACTATTAATGTTCTTGCTCGGATAACTCGTTACGCTATTGATTAATTAAGCTCCTGTTTGCTCGCATTTTCTTCCCTGCCTTTAATTAACTGTGTGCCATGCATTCTGTAGTCATTGAACGAAACGGATGAAGTGATAAAGGCATGTGGTAATGAGGGAGATGGGAAGATGGGATTATTCGTGCATTGATTTAAACTACAGAAACCTGTAAAGCTTGTATTTGTTGTAAAAAAAAAAAATGAAAAATGCATTATCAAAATATTTCTCTATATTTCTTACCATTCTTACCATCCTGAAAATAATCAGCGATACCACCGACTTATAAAAATATCTCGTCAATCCATTGCCAAACTTGACGATTTATCAATTTCGCCTCTACTTATGACCACCCATTTATCTGTCTTTTTTTTTTTTTGTTTTAGACGACCGGTATTCCAATAAACGTAGCAGCTAGATTACAAGTTAATATTTTATTACAGTCATCGAAGACCGTGTCGTAAGGAAATTTCAATGTATCTATATTGATATAGAGAGTAAATATGAATATTCGTCTTATGGATGATAATACGTGATTACCACACGATATGGTTACAAATTTTATAAAATCCATTTGAGCTGTGCATTATTAAAAAAAAAAAAAAAAAAAAAAAAAAAAAAAAAACCTTTTTTATTATAAAAATTGTAATAAACATTAGAAAAGTAACAAACGCACAAGCGTTTAAGAACTCAATATATATATAAATTCGATATGTAAAAAGATTTTATCAATTCGACATTGACGCTTAATAAAAATAGTCCTTTAGCGTATAAAAAAATTATTTTTATATAGCTATAGTTTATAAAAAAAAAAAAAAAAATTATTCCAAAATCGAATTTACAAATTTTACCCTTTTCCATTACTAATTACAATTACAGTTGAATTCAAAGTTAAATAATAATATTCCTTTTTAGTGTATTATTATACCATTGGAAACTAATAATTATGTCTCAAATTTATTTTATAAGCTTATAAAATTTTGATATTTCATGTATTAACATTAAATCATTTTTATTTAAAATTTCATGGTTTTTATAAATTAAAATAATTCTACAAACTGTATGAAATAGTAAAAATATTTAAATATTATTACATCCATTCGTAAGACGATTATTATAAATTCAAGAAAATTTTATCTCTCTATTCTTTTTGCCAAAAATTGTAAAGTTGTATTTAAAATACATTTTATCGATCATACTCTATAAAAATAATAAAGTTATTATAATTTTATTTGATTAATTATTAGATATTAATTAAGTATTCGAAAAGCGTATAGAAAAATTAAAAAATTTTAACACCACGTATTTTCATATTTAACGCAATGAAAATACATTTGTAACCGAGATCGCTTTATTCATTTAAAGTTTTATATTTTTTTCTAATTTGACTGGAGATATTGAATTTTACACAATTTACATAATGCATATCTTTTATAATTACTATTATTCATTATTACTTTCATTTTAGGTTATTTAAAAATGTTCCTACGATATATTTTCCAATATTCTGGTTCAATATGAAGGTTGAAATTCCAAATGAATTAGTTGGAAATTTGCAGTTACTATTAAATTTACCAACAATTACAATGTACACGGGGTTAGTCCTGATGCTCATCGGTTCTCTTATTCTCTTTAGTGTGGTTGTAATATATTACGTAAATAATCGTCGGAGATTGTGCCAGGTATGAATAATTTGTGGTTTTTTTCTCTCTGTCTCTCTCTCTCTCTCAATACAAAAACTTCAATAAAAATGAAATAATTGTACAAATTTTTCCAAAATTAAAACATTTACAAAATTAAAAAAAAAAATGAAAGATGTTAAATTTACATAGTTCTTAATGTAGATAATGAAAATGTCAATATGTCAATTGGTAAAACATAAATAATAATAAAATGATTGTAAATAAATTAAAATTTTGAGTATAATAAATTTGCTTTTATTGATAATTATTTCAGTAGTGTACGATTCTAGAGAAAAATTAGTACACCAAATTTTCCTCTGATTAATTACCTGAAAAATTAATGACCCAATATATCTTTATATTGTTTATCTATAATTAATTTCTATATTTTAATTTTTAATTAATATACTGACGTGAAATACAAAATTTAATATTTTTTAAGACTATAAATGAAATATGTACACGATATAAAAATATAATGACAAACACATTGCTAATTATGTTAAATTAAGTTAAATTTAATATATGTATTTAGTGTAAAATAAAATTTTAAATAATTAAAATTTTTTCTTTATCTTTTATTAAAATATTCAAGATACATTTAATAGATAATCGAATAATAGCAATTGACGGTCACGGAGAAAAGTGAATAAAGAAAAGTGATAAAAAATCAATTTTTTTTCTTTAAAAGCAAATTATTTTCGATTATTGTATAATATAATATGAAACGGTGTTATAAGCTTATTTTGATTTTTAAAATTGTTCTGTCCCTTGTTTTCGAAACCATTTTGTTCCAAATTTAATAACGGGCTAATATAGAGATTTATTACAAATTTTTTAATGTATTCGTAAAAACATTATCTCTATATAGACATTACTCTATATAGACATTACTGGTGAATGAGATTTAATATTTTTTGTGTGTGTGTGTGTGTTTGTGTGTTTGTGTGTTTTCGCGTAAACTCTTAAAAGTAAATATTTACTCATTCTGAACGGATATTATATTTATGATTATTTCTAGAATAAATCAAATAAAACGGATTCCTTACAAAAGAAGACGGAAATGGTGTATATGGATAAAGTTAACGCCAATGAAGATGGACAAACGAGGAACGATCGACGTTTGTATCCAAAACTTTAGTGCATAATTAACGAAAGAGAAAATCCGTTAATTAAAAAATTTAATAAATGCTATGTACATGGTGACAGAAACTTTCTTGAATTGTATCTAGTTTTTCATGAAACGCTAGGCTACGCTTCAAAAGAGAAAGTTATGCATACGAATTTGCTCAAAACATTAACGTTTAGACTGTATAGTCCAATGTATAGTAATGAGAGTCAATTTGGACGTCTCCACCAGAGAATAACGTCCTTTGCCTTCATACGCTTAGAGATAGTCAAATAAAGATTGCCATTTCATAATTATATATCGACGCTGTTAGGATATTTTAATTACGTATTACCAGAGCAAGAGAAAAGTCAGCTATGACAATGAAAGATTTTGCCATTGTATAATAAATTGGTTAGACATTTTAAAAATTATTGTAAAATACGCAAATTACCAGTCATTAATTTTTTAAGCATTGCCAAGAATTCTTATAATGCATATATTAATAAACAGAAGTGAAATAATATTGTAACATTTTCCATTATTCGCAGCTGTTCGTAACAAAGAATTGTCATGGCTGATCAAGATAAAAAATATCAATAATTATTCTATATTATATGCTATTTACAAGCGAATAACAAATTGTCTGGTTAATTGAAGACTAACATCAAAATTAATGAATGTTGATTCTCGAAATAGACGACAACGGACGACAATTTTGCACTTATATATTTTACCGGGTTTTAACAGTTTTACATAACAATATGCTATTATAATAGTTATAATGTAATAAAATCAATAATGATCAACGTAATAAAGTGATAAAATAAAATAGGCTAGGAGCAAGAAAATCTTAATAATCGCGGACCAATTATAACTGGAGGCCGATTTCTCTTCAGTTAATATATTAACAATGTGAAGGAAACTAACGAACTTTATAAAGTATGATTTTCTTGGAGTATAAATAAATTTTAATTAAGATTAAATATATATATATATATATATATATATATATATATATATATATATATATATTAATAAATTAAAAACCAAAAATGTATATTTTATCGAACAATTAGGTAAAGGTAAATAAGCAATATTTACTAAGCTATTAAATTAAATAGTTTGAATATAACATTTTTCAGATTTACTCATGCACAGATTTACTGAGTAATATCTCAAAACTTATGTTTTTTAGTAACGAAATTAATAAATTTTTTTAAATTCTTATGTATAAACATTATACGATCATTATAAAGATGAGATCGCATCGTCGAATAGCAAAAGATTACTCGCAAACTAGTATTATACGGTGTTACATGTTATCATGCTTGAATATTCATGTCAAGCAAATAAAATCAAATGATATCATAATTAAATTCATTATAAATTAAAAATTTAATAAATAACTTTGGAAAGCAATAAAAATGAAATATTACGAAATGTAAATTTCGTAAAACGAACGTAAATTTCTACAAGATATTAAATATTAGAGAAAATACAACTATACAAGCGAATGATCTTCTAAAAAATTAATTGCTTATAATTTTAATTATACATATAACAAAGTACTTTAGTACGATTATAGATATTAGAAAAGCAATATTTACATATTGTCACATCGTCTCATCACAATATAATTATGTATTGTATCGATTAAAATGAATAATGTAACGATATTGGAATACCTTCAAATTTTGTCTTCGTTAAATGAAATTTATCGTTGAAATTTATTCATCCGTAAACATGTAAGAAATCTTTATAAAGGATGTATGAATTTCCGGTCTGGAAGTTCTTTTGAAGGACTCAAACGTGCCTTGCAAGTTTATAAATCCAAAGTAAATATCATATATACATTTTATACGATTGACGACTCGTTCAGTCTATCAACGTGCCATATCATTTATAATATTGAGTTTATATGCTCTTTTCAATTAACAGAATTCAACGAATCATTTACTTATTGCAATTTAGAAATTAAAGTTCATTAAATTACCATAGTAGCAACAAATTAATTTCCATTAATAATAATACGTTTTTATTGAAAAGAATTAAGTTTTTAGATTTTTGTACGTTAAATTAGAGAAATATTTGTATAAACTTAAAATTTTGTACATTTTGAATAATTATAAATTAGCGACAAGCGATATAATGCGATAAAAGCTAAAATGATACATAAATAATATAGTGTAAGCATATATTTGAAGCAATTGATAATATGATCTTGTTGATAAGTATATTGATTATATATAGTTTATACCTGGATATCACTATATTTTAGATATTTGTATTACCATAAGAAACCAAAGTATATTGCAAGTAAATTAGCGAATGAAGAGGAACCAACACTTACGTTTATTTAATTAGTCACCCGCTATGATCATATTTTTATATGATATCACCTTTTATATAAAAACATGACATATGTAAGCATCGTTTAAGATAATCATACATAAAAAATTTCACGTACCTATATTATTAGATAAAATAACGTCTTAAAAAAGATATTGTTTTTTTTTTTTTTTTTTTTTTTTTTTTTTTTGACTGGACAAATTGTAAAATAACTAGAAAATGTTCATAAGTTAGTACAATACAATGTTTTAAAATAGAAAAATTATTTAGATAAATTGTTTTCCTGCAAAAGATTTTGTATTGCTTACAATAAAAGTTAATTATTTTTATCTTTTTGACATTTATTTCGCACATCCTCAAATAAATATTTGTTCTGTTTGCCGGCCATTACAATTATTAAATTGATTGAAATGATTACATTATTTAATATTAATTTCGTGTCATTATGTCCATATATATAATGATATTAATGAAATATCATATCAATGAATGGAATATATACGTTATGAATACTTACTTTTTATTTATATTTTTTTTATTTATATTTTTATTTATATTTTATTTACTTTTTATTTATAAAAATTTTATCAACTATATATGTAATAAGTATTATATTTTGACAATATTGCAACAATTTATTGAGTTTATTTATAGAAGAATTAATAAATATTAAAAACTTTTGTAGTTTCTACTATTTTTAATGTAATATGTCAAAATCAGAATATTATTAATTTCGTTGAATTAAGTAAATTTAGTCTTATCATAATGTTATATATTATTGTAATTTATGAAGATCATTTGATCTAAAAAATTAAGTAAAATCTAAATGGTAATTTACATAAAGAAAAAAAGTAATACTTTCAGTTTAAAAATTAACTAATATATTGTATTGAAAAATCGTACTCAATCAATAGATCAGAAAAGTATGAAAGAATATTTATAAAGCGATTGATAATGTCCTCCATTATTTCGTTGAAACGTATTTTTATCCACTTTGATAACTGTTAATTTATTAAAATGTATCTTATAATCAACAATTTTTCCATTGACAGTAACAGCCTTCCTAAGTTTTTATTATTTCTTATTGTTTATTCCTAAATCAATCCATAAATCACTTCCACTATAATGTCATTACATACAAATAATTAATTGAAAAAGACAAATTCTATTGCTAAAATTGGTAAAACGTATATAATTAATACTTTATAATTAAAGTTTTCATGAAAAACAAAATAATTTATTTAAATATATGATTGGACAGATAAGAGATTTCAAAACTATTATCACAGTCTATCCACGGCATATATAATCATTGAATGAGGTGCTCAAACGAAAAGTTACAATTCATATTATCACCTATTAATCATCATTTCATAAAGCAATAAGAAATAGAGTTTCATGAATATATGCATATATATATTTATTTATTTATTTATTTATTTATTTATTTATTTATTTATGTGCTGGGTGTACATAAAAAATACATTTTTATGTAAATGTATGCATACACATGTGTATTGTATTAATTAATTGCCATCGAAGCTGGTACTGACAACGAGTGTGTACGACATAAATAATACATTAACAGTGTGTATTCGTACGACAGGGCAGTCTTATACACCAACGTTAACGAATTAATTTTAGATGTATATTTTTAGCTGAACGCAACGTGTATTATAAAAGCAAATATCACAATTACCAATAATAATAGACAACAACAATGAATTATGCCTTTATTGAATTTATTCATAACCATAAACTAATAATATGTACACGATTTCACTATAAATCCGAATGCACGTGACGTAGTAATGCGATAACATCGATGATTCGTGCCCGAAGTCTGTCATTTTCTTTAGATCGATTGTCTTCGTGAACGCTCGGTTCAAGTTCTTATTTTTTTGCTGAATTACTTGCTGTTTAACATTTACAGTCGCACTTGTCTTCTCCACGTTATCGTTGCATAAATATTCTACGCAAGTAGGTAAACCATACAATAAATAAATATGTAATACAATAGTCTAATGTGTGTGCGCGAGTGTTTATGCGTGTTTGTGTGTGTGTGTGTGTGTGTGTGTGTGTTTATGTGTGTGGGTGTGTGCGTGCCTGTAGCATATTTAGAGGTTAAAATTTATGAATTTCTATACATCTGCGATATGAATGCGTGAAAATATGTGAAAATGTATGGTAATGCGTGAAAGTATAGATGGGTGCATAAATAATAGGATGTTATTGCATGTGTCGACTCTCGTATCTAATGCCAGTATGTACAGATGTGTAAGCATGCAAAAGTTTATACGGCATATATAGTCGTCGATATATAATTAATGAGCATGTACGTTGCTAATGCCTTTATGTGTGCCATGTGCTCGTATACACACATCTAACAAAATCTTTGCAAATTAGACACGCGTGCATTCGTATGCAGTGGTCTATTTACTTTTCCATGCGCCTAAATAACGCGTAGAGATATACGAATCGTCGTATATGTGTGTCGGTACATTCGCACGTGTTCATATTATACGTGTGAATTGAGGGATTTATGAATGAATATTAATTATCTTTTATTAAAACTAATTGTTAAAATGTAATGAAATGTTGCTTCGTAGCCTCCATTTAATATAAACAATATCAAATTGAATTTTATAATAAATAATAGACACGAGCTTTATGCAATAATTGCATAATTTTTATAAAAACACTCTGCTTAAAATCGTCTATCCTCATTTGTAGTAATAAAATATTAAGACTGAAGGAAGAAATTATTTGAATAATAAATTTAATCAGTCTGGCAGTTGGAAGTTGAATATTAATAATTTTCGATAAAGCCTTCAACGCGAATAGGACAGTATATTAATATTTGATAAAGATATATCGATGCATTACATTTAGGTAGAATAATGCAACGCATAATAATTTTCGATCCTTATTTTTTATAATAATCCAATAATATTGAGCTGAATTTTCGCTTAAATAGTGTTTATTAATGATCAATTTTAATACAATATTTTTAATTTTTAACTTCGAAAGAACCATATGCATTATAAAAAGCTATAATTAAGTATAACACAATTACAAATTCATTAAAATATATATTAGATT